GAGAATGAATGACATCGGATAGGAAGGAGGGTCACCAGAAATCCTCACCATTTCTGAACCTGTCTCAAGGTGACACACCCACACCAACTGAGCCGATCGCCATTATCCCAGGCAACTCTGGTTAGCTGCTGGCTACTACGGCCATCCTGGCTGGGAGATCAACTTGCACACTGACAACTGTCCAGTGTACACCCATCCATCCACCCACTCTCGTGTGCTGAATGAAGCACCTTGGAGGAGAGTCTGGGGAATCTGGAAGAAGTTCAAGTCCAGATAAAGAATATGCACACATCAGATGAGTTCCAGTTTCCACCTACAGGATGGGTTTCAGCGAGAGAGAGTGTGTCCGCCATCTCAGTCCTGGGGTCTGGGGACTGCTTGGTCTTGGCCTGAATGGAAGGGGAGGTGGATGAAGATCTCTCCCTCTCTTCCCCCTCCCCCACCAGTGGCTTGTAGACATGAAAGGGGGGGGAGGTAGATGGGTAATTAATACCTTCTGCTCCCCTCCTTAAGGCTTGATGGAGCCTTTGTCACACCATCCAGGAAATATAGAAAGGGCCAGGATAGCTTAGATCCCAGTACGTTGTTACCAGACAGGTCCTTACATTGTTAACAATAGCAATACAGTTGGACGCCTCCTGTACTCCTCCAGTTATCTGGGAGGGGGAGGAACCAAATCTACCAGCATTGAATCAGCTGACTAGAGATTCACTAGCTGGTAGTTCTCTGGCTCAGTATTGTTTGCATTGCTTGTTTAATTATTGTTAGTGTGAAATCATTTTTTCCCCTTGGACTTTGTAGAGGTTTACTATAGATAGTCTTCTGTGTTCTTTATAAAAACACTGCAAGTTTAAGGTAGCCATGTGTCTCCGTCTGTCTTGCTTGAAGCAGGTTCCTATTGAAATTTGTTGACCTTTGAATGGTTTGGGTTTTGATTTTTCTCACCGCTTTTGAATATACGTATATGAATGTCACCATAGTTACAAACTGAAACGTGATGCTCGGAGATTTGTTTGCTTGCTTGCTTTTTGCTGGGTGGGTGGGGGGCATAATAGTACCATGGGCATTGTTTTTGGTGATGATGAAGGATGTTTAAATAGCGCATGCATAGGTATATGCTTGTGTGTGTGTGTGTGTGTGTGTGTGTGTCTGTGTGTGTGTGTGTGTGTATGTGTGTGTGTGTATGTGTTTTTTGGGGGGGGGGCCCGCGGGGGGGGCGGGGCCCCAGCCCAACCCCCCCAAGGGGGGGGGCCCCCCCCCCCCCCAGGCTCGTGTCTATCTATCTATCTAAATTAACGAGAAGGTACATGAACTTGATTGGAGGGTGAGGCGGGAAGGGGCCCTAGGAGGGGTCCCTCCCGGAAAAAAAAAAAAATATTTGTCCCCCCCAACCCCCCCACCAGTGCTGGACAAAGGAAAAGGATATGGCCAAACCTAAAATCCTAACACAACAAACACCCTGGGAGAAGGAAAGTGAAATATTAGTTCAGCCAGTCTGTCACCTCTTCAGAGTTGAAGGGGAGGAGTAAAAACAAAAAAGGCTTGATACCCTGAATGTGGAACTGAGAAGGATCCATAGGTTTTTCTTCTTTAGGTTGACTGCCAAGTCCTCTGGGCCCGAGAGTGCTCCCACTTCTAATGATGAACAGGCTTGGGGTATGGGAAACACCAGGATAAATCGTTTCTTCTGGGACAAGCTGTCTTATTACAGCAGATAGTGCATGCTTATAGGGGGTGCTGTCGCTAACGACCAGTGAGATGTTTCTCTCTGCAAGGGGACCCATAGCTAAATTGGTCCTCCTGGGCTCCCCAGATGCCACCCTAAACATCACAGCATTAACGCTAGCAGAATGTCCTTGTAAAACATAAGTCTGTTTTTCCTTCTGGCTCTTGGTAGTCATCTCTTTAAAGCTCTTAGGAAAAAAAAATTATACAAACACAACTTAAATATTGTATATACACACATGTGTACACATACACATACACATTCCCATGAATGTATCAAATTATCAGCACTTGTTATCCAGCGATAGATAAGAAGACATCATCCTTTCCCAGCCCCTTGTAATCACTGTGCTCATGAAGACAGTGTCATCTAGAGCAGCATATGAAGCCACGCTCTCACCAATTTCAAGATGTTGTAAAATATCACAGAATCAGTCACAGAAAACAATGGTACAGGATCCTTGGGTAGAACCATCAGGGGGTATTCAAACAAAGGCTCCATTTCTGGGGTTGGGGGGCTTTTGAAATCATAGTCAATCCAGAAGTCCTCACCAAGGGCCAGCTTCGAGTGCAGTCGGGCAAGGCGCAAGTGGCTGGTCACTGTTGGCAAAAGTGGTCATTTCTTTTACGAGGGCCAAAGGAGACCCTGGCTTACCCTGTTGGACTGCCTGCCTGAGATACACAGGAAGAAAGTCAACCACCACCATGGAGGGGGAAGTGACTGTTCCTTCATTTTCAAAGCACCCTGCGCCTCTTAGGGGAGGACAGGCAGATGAACAATTAGGATTTGTTGTGAAACAAAGTATCGGAGATTCTCAGAGAACAAGTGATATCACCATCAGCACAGCATCTAAAACAAAGGGCAAATCCAAACCACACTCATTGTAGAAGTGGATACTCTGTCACCTACCCATTCCATCAGTTTCCAAAGGCGGGGGTGGGGGGTGGGGACGGGACATAACCGAGCGGGTCTAAATGTGCCCCGTGAACTCTAAAGGACCAGGGAAGGTTGCACCGCAGCCGCCGTGGCAAGCCCTGTTGCAGTAGCCATGTCTCCTGTGTTACGTGTGGAAAAACAGGCAGTCATCAGATATAAACAAAGGGTAGGGGTTTATTTTTAATTACGTGTCTGTTATGTCTGTGTGTGGGCATATACACATGAATGCAGAAGCCCCAAGAAGCCACAGGAGTTGGATCTTTCAGAACTGTCAGAACCGGGGAGTTAGATCCCTCACAATTGTCAGTCAGACAGTCATAAGCCACCTGACATGATTTCTATAAACCCTGGAATAGTTAGTGCAGGATCTCACTATGTAGCTCTGTCTGACCTGGGACTTACACCAGGCTGGGCCTAAACTCACAGATCAACCTGCCTCTGCCTCTCAAGTGCCGGGGGTTAAAGGAGTGCTCTGTCACAATGAATTTTCTTGCTGTATAACTGGAATCGTACGCCAGAGTCCCCATTCTTTACCAGCGTGCCCGGACTTTGGAAGTCTGCCTGGCCCCACTCCCTGGAAGTTGTGTACAATGTTCTCATGTGTGGTCACTGTTGGAAAGGTGGCTCTGAAAGAACAGTTTTGGGGCTTCCCTGAAAAGAGGGCCAGATTAAATAACTAAAGCTTCATATCACGTTTTACAGGCCGAGCGGAGGCAAATTACCGCCGTAGACTGATACATTTGAAATGAGATGCTGATAGCATGGGGGTGTGTGTGTGCGATAAAACTCTGGGGAGCAGCCTGCACTTTGCTCTGAAATCACCCTTAGCATGAGAGAGAGAGAGAGAGAGAGAGAGAGAGAGAGAGAGAGAGAGAGGGAGGGAGGGAGGGAGGGAGGGAGGGAGGGAGGGAGGGAGGGAGAGAGAGAGAGAGAGAGAGAGAGAGAGAGGGAACTTCAGATTCTACTCTGGGGGCAATGGCATTCCTGTTGCTGGGTCATGGGGCCCAGGGCCTCGCCTGCAGTCGACCCTTGGCAGCGGGGTAAAGTACCTAGCTACTTACTGCACCCACCTGCCTCTCCCCCACGACACCGCACAGCTCTCGGGGGACTCACCTCTAAAGAGGGAGGAGGACTCCCATTGTCAACTGTCCCACGGGGTATGGGGCCCAAGCAAGTGGTTCCCACAAGTCAAGGGGTCCCTGCTTGCCTTGTTTAGCCTTTTACCCCAGAGCCCCACGCTTGGTCCCACTAAATCACTAACTCAAAAAATAGCCACTTGGGCTTGCTCATCAATACAGCATTTGCCCTAGGGTCCTAGGTTCCAATCCCAATCCTGAAAATAGATGGGATTCTTAGTGGCGTCCTTTTTTCCTGATGGAAGACTTTTTGCCTATCACCCAGCTCAGTGTAGGCTCCTTCAGTCCATGCAACTGGGATCTGGAAGTTAGGGGTACTTGGCGCCTAAAGGGTGGGGGGGGGTTATTTAGAGACTTTTCACACTGCTTGGTCTAATCTGGCGACAACCTAGATTTGGGGAGGGGGGAGAACACATCGCCGAGACCTCATTGTACCATCCGAGAAACGAGCAGAAAGGTAGCAATTTGCTAACTTCAAAAGTGTGTTCTGTGAGTCAAAAGCTGAACTAAAATACAGAACTCTTTGTGTAACCTGAGAGGCGGGAAATGCCTTCATGCCTGTAGGCAAGCTTTAAAGTCTACCGTGTTTTCTCATCATCATCATCATCATCATCATCATCATCATCATCATCATTATTATTATTATCTTATTTTCTCCCTTTTTTCTCTTGAATTTTGTTTCATTGGGAGGGTGGCAGGTGGACTCAAAGGGACAGGGATGGATGGGATCAAGATACACAAGGTGAAAGACACATAGAATAAAAATTATTTTAATTAAAAATTTTGAAAAAGGATTGTAGTTAACACTCACAATCAATGTGGCCGCTGTTCCTGTACCTCCAGAAATCCCTTGGGCTGCCCTGTTACTCTTCTTTTTGTTTGGCAGCAAGCTGTGATTTGTGACTTTTGCATGTCAGTCTCTCAGGGTCTGTTAAGGACCATCTAGGTGCCAAACTCCAGGAGCTCCTGAAATGCCAGCTACAACAATTTTATGGAATGCCTTTTCCAGCAACCCATTGATTACAAACACTTAGTTTATACTCTGAAGTATTTGTCTAAATAGAAACAGTGTTTTCCAAGCGTAGCAAGGTGGATGCTGAGCATCTGGATACGAGTGGTCATCGACGGGGACTTCCTCGCTTTATTGATTTCCTTGTTATTGAAAGGTAGCAGATAACACGCTCTTGTTTTCCCATTGCAGGTTGATGACCAAATGAAGTTGCTTCAGAACTGCTGGAGTGAGCTCCTGATCCTCGATCACATTTACCGGCAAGTGGTCCATGGGAAGGAAGGGTCACTCTTACTGATAACTGGGCAACAAGTGAGTATCCCGGTCAGAACAGAATAACATCAACAAAAACACATGCACAAAGCACTTTCATGTTTCAACAGGGAGGGATTTGCTGCAAAAACTGAGAAACGATGACCCTGGTAGGAAAAGAAACAACCAACAGCCTGCAGGCCGGAGAGACTTGTCTGTCCCGAGCCAGAGCTACAGCTAAATCCAACTCAGAATCTCAGTTTCCAAATGAGCGCACCACATCTGTATGTTAGCCAGCCAGTTTAATCCCTTTATAAACCGGACAGTCCTTATTGTTTTGGTGGTGGTGATGATGATGATGACTGTGATGTGCTAAGGATAAAGCTCAGAGTCGCGTGCTCGTTAGGCAAGTGCTCACCACTGTTGAGATACCCCACCCAGCCCCGGAACCTTTGCTAGTTTGGAATGATGTAAGCAGAAGAGTGATTTAAATGTCGCATAGAGTCAAAACACTTGGTATAGGGACAAGTGCATGAGAAGGGGGGACAGAAGTTCCAGTTCTCATGAAAGAAAAATTCTGTGAAGTTAGGCTTGTTTTTGGATTCATATTTGGTGACTCTATAAATACTTCCCGGGTGCCATGCCGTGTGCCGGCCACTATCCTGAGGCGCTGGAGTGTATTAGGGAATAAAACAGAAAATAACTCCCTGTCGTTTTGGAACTTAATGTTGTAGATTTGGGTTGACAATAATAGTCTAATACACCAGCCGGTAGTATACTGGAGCAAAGGAATAATAAAGAAATCGGACCCAGCAGGAAACGGGCATGTGTTTCAGTGGGGGCCTAATTATTACAGAATTAACTGGGTTAGTTGTTGTTTCTTCTTCTTATTGAGAAGGTGACTTTTGATCAACACAAGGTGGGAGAGACTGCAGTGTAGACATCCAAGGAAAGGGAGGACAGTGGGCTTCATTCATGATTTAGGGTTTGGGTAAATTCTCCTGGTTTTGTTCTCTCTTCCCTACACATGATGGATTGATTGGTAACATAAACTCCCAGTGCACTGTGAGTTCTGTAGTCCATTTGGTCGTAGCTGTTCGGGGCATCGTTCAGCCAGGGTGACTCCTGCGCGGAGGCACCGTGATCTTTTACGTTTAGCCATAAATGTTTATGTGCTGTGAAACCACAGCAATGCATATTTGAAAACGAAAGGCTGTCTTCACGCCATTTGCCATGTTATTAATAAATCACGTTTCCCAATCAAATTAAAAGCAAGCACCATGTCAGGGCTTTTGCCGACTGGATCAATCCGACTGGCTTTGTCGCTATCTGGTCCATGATCTCAGACAGGAAAGTCTGTCTATTTTGACTTCCTGGACTTCCAAATCTTGTCTGGTGTTTTCATTCTGTGACCCAAGTCTTTGGACAGAACCTGGTCATTTTTGAGTTAATTCACAGCCACCCAATTAGAGGCTGTGTTAGAAGTAAAAGACACAGCAGCTCATGAGTTCATTCATTCATTAGTAGTTTCCTATCTTAATAAAACTGTGCCATTTCACCCCAGTTCTTTGGAAAGGTGCCTTATTCCTAATCCACTTTGCCTCGAGCACTTAGAGCAATGGTGATTACTGTTTGAAAAATAGAGAAAGCACATATACCTCTTGTCTCTCTGATTTTTAAAACCAGAGCAGCCACAGAGTAAACAGTGTTACCCTTGCTGTCAATTAACTGTCCCTGCAGACAGTACCATGAATGGAATCCCCGAGCCTTTTCCTTATACCTTTCCTGCAGTACAGATGGCTCACCTTCCCCCATGCCAGCACCCGATGTTGGCTCCTGTAACCAAGCATTCTCATTTATGGTAACTATGGGAGAAGAGGCTTTTACCGTCTATCATGGAGCAAGCAGAATAAGCATATGCCCGGGTTCCTGTGGTTACAGAGAAGGCAAGCAAAGGCAGCACCTCACAGGAAGACTTGAGGGAGTCATGATCTTTCCAACAGCATGGAAAAGAGGGTGTGTGTGTGTGTGTGTGTGTGTGTGTGTCACAGACGCCAGGCACAGAGTGTATGTATGATGTATTACGCATACTGGGAGAATATAATGTTGAGCCTCACACATGCTTTGCCATGGAGTCCCCCCCCCCACTAGATTTGAAAAGGATACTTGAGATCAAGCTGATAGGCATCTGCTAGCACCTGCTGTAGCATTAAATACACTAGCCAAGTGGTAAATAGTAGATCACGATGCATAAGGAGAAGTTTTGTATCTCCAGCCTAAAAACCTGATTAAAATAAGTTAGGCACAACCCAGATGCTAAGCCATCCTCCTCACCCTAGTCTTAATACCACTCTGCCATTCAGCCTGCTCTCATGGGTGTGGGCTAGCAATAATGTCTAGTCACTAATCTCCTTGTTTAGACTACTTTCTAACCAGTAGCTCAGGGACAGGAGAAATCCTAAGTACTTTTTCTTAGGATGATCTCAAAAGCAGGAGAAGAGGACTAGAACAACAGTAATTAATTTGATATGGCCTGTATGCCAATACTGAGACAGTTGGTGCAGTGATGGAAAGAGGAGGGATATATTTATTGAATCTAACAGCCAAGCAATATTCTAGAGAAGACAAATATATTAAGTACATGACAGAAACAAGGGCTTCCTCCTTGCTCATTATTTCGACAGCCTAGAAAAGGTAGGGACAACTTTAGGGGACACCATGAGTTTTCCTATGGGGACGGGTGGTTTTTTTTGAGACAGTTGACTATGTAGCCAGGCTGAGCTTAAATTCATGATCCCCATATTTCAATCTCCTTACTGCTAAGATTACAGTCATGTACTAACACACCCAGCTAGATTGCATTTTGACTATTAATACATTGACTTTGGTTTGGAAATGGTAAGAGTACGCGTGTGTGTGTGTGTGTGTGTGTTAGTATTATGAGTATATATGTATATGTCCATATGTGTATATTTGTATCTCTATATGACAGGACAGCCTTTGTACCTTTTTTAGAATTTACTAGCTACACGTAGATCTTAAAGTCATCCTACCTTTCATGTGTCAGTTTCCTTGCCTGTTTGGTAGGAACCATTATGCTATCCACAGGAAATAGTTGTATAAGTTCTGGAAACAAGGTTGACAAGGAGGATTGTTTAGTGTGTAGACTTTCACACTAAAATGAAAGTCTGGTTCCATGAGCCATCGCATCAAGGTCCTAGAGAAGAAATTCCGCCACATTGTACTGATAAAGCATGCAAAACAAGGATTAATGGCTGGCACTCGCCTCTAGCTTTTTCATTTAGGTAGAAGGTATTCCTGGAGGGTAAATGGAGAGCAACCAAAGCTGTGAGAGGCGAACTATTAGACACCACCCGGCAGTGAGCAGTAATAAGAGAGGCCCTTCCTCCATCTGCTTGATAATGGCACTTTGCAAAAGTCCCACAGCACAGTCCGAAGAGAAAGCGTGATCGGGACATGTACACTGAAACAAGACTTCACCTCCCCAAGCTGCTTTTATTTATTTATTTATTTATTTATTTATTTATTTATTTATCTATCTTAAGCTTATGCACATTGGTGTTTTGCCTCCATGAGGGCATTGGGTCCTCTGGAACTGGGGGTACAGACAGTTGAGAGCTGTTATGTGGGTGCTGGGAAATCACCTCAGGTCTTCTGGAGGTACAGACTGTGCTCTTAACTACTGAGCTATCTCCTCGGGCCCTGGTCATGGTATTTTATGATAGTAACAGGAACCCTAACTAAGACAAATACCAAAGCCACAAAGAGGAACCTAGACAGTAATTTCCTATTTCCTTGAAACACACGTGTGATTGCCATACGTACCTCGATGGCAGCCTTCTGGTCAACCAAAGCGTGCAAGGCCCAGTGTGTTCTTGCTTTCCTCCACTATGTGTGGGGTGCTGTTCTAGCAGAGGAGGAAGAAAAGTCTGCACTACGTTTTTAAAATGAGCGCTTTGAGGATGCAGCTTGGTGGGCAGTGTTTGCCTAAAAATGTGTGAGAGCCCCGAGCTCATCCCTAGAACCACAAAGAAAAAGAAAAGGAGAGAGAGGGAAGGACTTGAGGGAGGTAGAGAGCGGTAAAAAGCGAAGCGAGGTGTTTCCAGGAAACCATCTTGAAGCCTGAAGAGAATACAGGTAAGGAAGCATTAGCATGCACCTCAAGCCTGGGGGCAGCCAGTTGTCTCAGGCATCATCGGAGGAGCCGAGGCCTCCCGCGTCCAAGCTGCTAGGACTAGCTCTGTATTCCATACGTGAGTTTAGTATCACATTTTAAACTTATGTTTTATGTATGTTCACACACACTCTCTCCCGCTCCTTCCCCCACCCGTGTGTGTGTGTGTGTGTGTGTGTGTGTGTGTGTGTGTGTGTGTGTGTAATTCAAATACAGGGTCTTGCTATGTAGCCCTGGTGGGTTTGGTAGTTTGTTGTGTAGACCACGCAGGTCTGGAATTCACAGAAATCCACCTGCCTCTGCCTCCTGAGTGTACACAAGCATGTTAGCTACTTGTATGTTTTTATCCAGCATTGATACGAGTGCAGATTGAATAACTCTCAGGCGAAAAAGGAAAGTAATTATCACTAAATTCAGTACTGTCAAACTAGCTTGCTACGATCTTACATTTAAGGCCGTTCTTTTTTTAAATCCAGTATTTTAACCCCTGACACACACACACACACACACACACACACACACACATACCTGTGTATATATCAAATAACAGTAGAATAGAATGCTCTGACATGAAGTCAGATTTTAGTATTTGCATATTGTACCTAATACACAGCCAATGTAACATTATCCTAAGGGAAAGGTCTACTGTCAACTTAATGCCTTCTGTTATGAGCGTATTAAAATGACAGGAATCTTATAATGTCCAAGTCATCAAAATTTTGGGTATTTAGAACTAAAAGCAATTTAGCTTAAATTATTTCTGCATCTTCAGGATGAGTGAAATTTATCCAGAAGGGACACAGGCTTAAAGTGTCCCCCTTAAATTTAATGGCTTCAAGATTACACGTAAGAGCAATCAATTAATTTTACCAAGTACATAAAAGACAAGGCCAGCTGCTCCTGATACAAGCACAAACTCTCCATCCAACAATGAAAATATAATTATGTTTGCAATAAAATATAAGGAAGTTGCAGGTCTGTGATTTATCAGGAGGGAACCATCGCTCTCCTTCAGAGCTGTGCAATTTGATAAATCATCCTTGGAAGAAAAGTTATCATAGCCCCCATTTAATAAGCATGTTTGAGCTTTCAAATTAGCATGTAAATAAATGTATGACTATAAAGGTTGAGATGCCAATTGATTTCTTGAGGTATATCTTACTAAAGGTCTCTCACTGAATAGCTAATCCTGGGAACCCACTGAGATTCTTTTAACGTTGGGGGGAGGTATGGATTTTGTTTTCGACTATGAGACTCTGCTATTAAAACTTACAGTCAAGGACGTGTTAAAAGTTGACACACACCCAATTTGAGTTACCTCATCTTCATAGTAAAATTAACCATGACTGTGTGTTTGCATTTTATGTTAATACAGCCTTTCGGTTCAGGGCTTAACCACCTGTGACTTTTACTCCAGTGTACTTGTGTACATTAAGCAGAACCCACAGTGGTTCTGCTCCAAGCATCAATTAGTATTGTTCTTACTGGGATTATCTCTTCACAGCCACAGAAGTGATCGGTGCCTTTTCTAGCTCAACTGTTATTGAATGGTGCTTAACACTAAGAGACGGGGATGGTGGTATTCTACTTTCCCAGCTGTCTTGTTTGTAAGAGGCATCATTTCATCCATTTCCTCTGTCTTTGTCTCCCAATTTCTTCCCTCGTTGTCCTCTATTTGGATCTTCTGCTGTCATTCTCTCGACTCCCGCCCATTTGCCCTGTACAATTTCTCTTACTTACACACTGACTGTCCCTCATCTGGAAATGCTTGGGACCAAATTTTAAGTGCCAGAGAGTCACATACACTGAACAAGATCTCTAAGGGGCAGACCCAGTTCTAAATCTGCAATTCAGTGGTTTCATATATGTGTTATAGACATAGCCCAGAGCTGATTTTGTCTAGCACTTTTTGGTGAGCCCATGTAACACAGAGCCTGATACTTGAAGTTATCCTGTTGGTGCTCAGAAAGTTTTAGATCTGAGAGCATTTCTTATGTCTTTTGTTGTTGTTGTTTGTTTTTTCGGAGCCAGGGTCTCGATAAGAAGCCTGGGCTGGCTCTCAAATGAGTTCTGAACTTTAAGGATATGAGCAACCAGACTTGAATACTCGCCAGGGTTTTATATTTAGGATGTTCTGCCTGTGTTATTCCAGTAACTTAATGGTATTTACTTTGGTTTGACTGTTGAGGTTTGTGTCATTAAGTAGGCCTGGTTGGCCTAGAACTCGATGTGTAGTTCAGGCTGGCCCCAAGCATGTGGCAGTCTCTGCCTCCCCAGTTGCTGCAGATTGGTTTTTGTCACTGCGATACAAACTAGACTCGCCTCTCAGAGACTGGCCTGTGGCCAAGTCTCCGGGGTATTTTCCTGATTAATGATTGATGTGGAACAGTGCAGCTCACTGGCCGCTGCCACCTCTGATCAGGTGGTCCTGGGTGGCGTCCGCAGGCTGAGTGAGTCAGCTGCCGCGTCCCTCCAAGGTCACTGCCTTGCCTTCCTTCCATGATGGACCGTGACCTGTAAGATCTTTCGTGGTGTCGGAAATGCTGTCTGGATGTCACTCTGAAGCCCTACGTGCCCGTTATGCTCTCTCTGCACTGTTCCTTGATTCAGGGTTCAAGTTGTCTGCAGACTGACCCTTCTTCCCACACCCTAACCCTACACAGACTGACCCTTCTTCCCACACCCTAACCCTACACAGACTGACCCTTCTTCCCACACCCTAACCCTACAGCGGACTGACCCTTCTTCCACACATTCCTGAAACACCCTGAGGGAGCTCGTGGAACGTTGGACATTTAAACTGCAGGGGTAGATAGATGCCAGCCCAGGGGTGTGTGTGTGCAGAACAGTTGGATGGTACAGGGCTTGAAGCAGGAGCTCCGTTCCTGGGCAGCACATCAGCGGTGGGTGGCTTTTTCATGGGCAGTTTCTGTTAGCTGATTGACCCTTCGGGGAGGGGATCGTCTTCCCACTGACTCATAATTTTCCTATTCTTGAAAAAAAGATTTCTTCACACCCAGTATTCTCTAGTTAAAGCCGAAAATTCAACTCATCATATTTACACAATAAAAAAAAAATCCATTCTGCCTTGTTTTTAATTGCAAATTCTACTCGAGGGACTAGTTCTCATGCGTAGGAGGCTGCCCGGTGCCATCTCCTAGTGAAGCAAGTGCAGTCAATTATGGTAATGAAATGTCAATAAATATAAAAATTTAATACAGTCTGCTCTGGGTGAGTGGCAGATGAGGACTTGCCTCCCAGACAAATTTGCTGCTCCTGCAAAAATTAAATGCACCTAAAAGAGCATCTGGTTGCTTGAGAGTGGTCCAGAAGAGCCAGGCACCAACTAGATCTTCCCATGCTGTGAATTCAGGAGCAAGCCAGGACTACCAGGGTCAGCCACCCTAACCTCTTGTTATTATAAACTGAACTTCTCATGTCCCTGTGAATAAAAGAGATGGACGCCTCTTGGTATGTTTTACAAAAAGAAAATGGAAGTAAGACTTTGGGGGTTTGTTTTCCAGATCAAGAAATTATTCTGCATAGAAATTAGGACATGCGTCGGGGGTGTGTGTGTGATGGTAATCAGTTTGATGGAATCTAACTTAATCATCTCCAACTAACAGCTTCATGCCAGCTTCTAAGGAAGGCAGTAAAGCAAATAAATAGTCTTAGCATGGAGACAGTGAGTTGGGAATACTAAAGCAGGAGGATGATGAGTTCGAGGCCAGCTTGGGCCACATAGTGAGGCTGTAGTTCTAAAAGACTCCTTTAATCACCACACTTGAATACTGCAATCACCTGCAAGCAAGCAGTCTTGTACCACGAATATATTAAAATGTTTCACAGTGCCTACATTATTTTATTCTTCATGCCTGTTGATGCACATGTAGAATCATTATGTAGCTCATTTTGTGTGTAGTTAATTTTTCTTTGAATTTATAACTCAGAATTAAAATAACAACCTTGTATGGAGATGGTCACACTGCTTAGAACACAGGTACACATACCTGCAAAAATGTAGGCAATAAAAACAAGTCCCTATGAAAGCCATCACATTGGATTTTTATCGGAGTAAGTGTAATACATTTTGCAGGAGGTACCCCCCCCAGGAGCAAAGCTCTCCGTAGTTAAACTGATAAGTGGCTGTCAGCTTGAGTCACCTAAAAGGGTTGGAACCTTGGGTGAGGAATTACCTCCATCAGATTGGCCTGTGTTAGAGAGCGATATTGCAACCCGACTTTTCCCACAGGTCTTAGCAATGTCTGGGGGCGGGGGAGAATGGTGTGATTCTCGGCCTGTCGGTAGTTGTCACAGCCATGGTTCTGTGTTGCAGGTTGACTACTCCAGCATTGCCTCACAAGCTGGAGTCACACTCTCCAACCTCGTCAGTCATTCCCAGGAGCTCGTGCTTAGGCTTCGGTCCCTGCAGTTTGATCACCGGGAGTTTGTGTGTCTGAAGTTCCTAGTGCTGTTCAGCTTAGGTAAGTTTGGTTTTCTTGGTTTTTTTCCCCCCTCTCATAGTCCATGCAGCCAAGCATTCTTTTTTCAAATGCCCGACGCGGGGTGTTCGATGCTACAAAGATAATGCCTTTCCTTCCAGGTAGTGAAATCTTAGACATGACCGCGCTTTCACATGTATGATTCTTAGCCCTGTAGCACATGGGTTGGAGTGTAGGGGTAGTTCCTCAGATTTCCTCCCTGGTGGACAGCTGAGCAGTGGACAGATAGCAGCGACCGTCGGAAAACAGAACCTTTACCAAGCTGGCGCCGTGTTTCTGTCATTTGTATTTGAATGTTTTTTTAGTTTTCCTGTTCTGCCTTAACTAACCTCTGCTGCTTTTAGTCTTCTAAAATGGGTGCAGTAATCACATGCCTGCTTTCCACATTTCTATCAGCGTTAGTTGAAGAAGACGAGCCACTCTGCACAGATAAAGGATAGTGGTTGTCAAGGGGAAGGATGCTTCTTTAGCAGGGGTTTGGAGTGGAAGGATAACCAAGCGAGATAGATTAGCTAAATCAAGGTTCTCGGTGAGCCAGGTGAGAAAAATCACCCCTGCTTGGAATAAAAAAGGGATTAAGGAGATGGATTTTTATTGACTTCAAAGGAACAGATTTTTCTGCCTGTCCCTTATTTGATTTCTGTATTCTGTTGGCTTAACAAAGCCAACTTAAATAAACTTTTTGCCAAGTCCATTCATCCCTCATTGGCAGAAGGCTGAGGGAGGCAACTTCCCCTTGAACAAAAATAATGGCAGAAATCAGATTTACCAACACATGCTTTTCCTTTAGTCCTCGGTTATGAGACAGTTGTGAATTCATAGCTGAAGAAATAAAACAATAACGCTAACTGCAAAGTAAAGCAGATGTATCTGACCTCCAGATTGGACCCCTTGGTTTCGGAACTCAGTCTTCCTGGCAGCACTGTGCAACTTTTGCAAATGAAGAGGTGGCTTGAAGTCTTAGGACCATACTTAACTTTCCTCATGTAGTCAACGCCAAAAATAAAAGGTGTTTTTTTTTTTTTTTTTTTTTTTTTTTTTTTTTTGGTATTTTAGAAAATGGGATGAATACAGCAAAAAGAGATGTCAGTGTAAATGTAAAAAGACAACAAGCCCCCCCTTTTTTTTTTTTTTAAGATGGAGTGTCCAAAGGTTTACAGGGCCAGCGTGGGCCCTAAGTGGTTTCTCTATTAACTACAGCAAACAGGGCAGGTTCTATTCAAGGAAGTCTGTGTCTATTATGCAGGAACAGTGTGTGGACCATCACCAAGCATAAGATAGATAACACAGGCCGGCTTGCTGTGATCCCACAGGTTCTGTTCATGGCAACATCTTGATGTTTCCAGCTGGTGGGAAATAGGGGTGTGTGTCTGGCAGCTTCTTCCTGGCAGAGCACTGAGATCTCAGCCCAGTGGCACTCTGAATGAGTTAGGACTGCAAGTGAAGATGTGTGTGTCACACAGCTTGAATCCCAGCCCCTTGGCAAGCGGAGGTAGGACCATGTGTGTGAGTTCAAGGGCAACCAGGTCTACAGAGCAAGTTCCAGAACAGCCAGGGCTACATAGAGAAACCCTGTCTCTCGAATAAACAAAACAGACAAAAATGAACGCCATGTAGACTAAAGGAACTGTTTTGAATGTGTGTGTATGCATACATGTTTTAAATGCATGTGTGTGTCCGTGCATTGTGAGTGCCTGATGCCCAGGGAGGTCAGAAGAGGGTACCCAATCCCCTCCAACTAGAGTTTCTGCCTTGTGGGTGCTGGGAATTGAACCCTGATCCTCTGAAAGAGAAACAAGTGTGTTTAAGCACTGGGCCACCTCTCCAGCCCTGATGTTCATTACTTTTACCTTGCTTTCCTTTGTTGCTCTCCAAACTACTATATCTGCTGCCAGCCCAGGGGAGGCAGGTGGATCAGAACCACCTTCGACCCTTGACCTTACCAATGATCTTCTGGACGAACAGCTGTATTTATCAGAGCCTCCATTGCATGCTTCCTTGTTCGCTGGCTGCTAGGGAAGCATGAAGCACTGGGAAGGGCCAGCCTAAGTTATCTGCTAAAAACTTGTCTACTTAACTGCTAGAGGAAGAAAGGGAAATAAGGCCTTTTGATCACAGGTGTAATAAGTTTAGGTCAAGAGTTCATGTTTAAAGAAGTAGTAAAAATATAATTAGAAGTGTAACTCAGGTGGTTTCCAATTTATGAGTGGAAAACTTTCATTAATTTTCCCCATGGAAACAATAGATAATCTTAAAAAAAAAAAAAAAAAAAAAAAAAACTCGGTTGAGTTATGTAGCTAATGAACTTTAGATCCCAAGTAACTGTTTCTTCTGTGACTGAGGAAGAAGTCACATAGGGTTACCAGTCTGTTACCTAGGCCAGGAGCACCATTGCTCAAACTCAGCAACCTTGAGCCTGAATCAAATATAGCCGGATTCCAGATCTTCCCGGCATTGGCCCTCGACCGTCTACTGAGGCTGCAATAGAAGTGATGAAGGCCAGAGGCTGTGCTGAGAGGTGGGCTGCATCTCCTCCACGTGTGAGAGATGATGTTGCCCTTTCCCGGTAGATTGAGCCAGAGAAGATGAGTATGGTCTCAAGCAGGCACAACATTTTAAGCTGAATTGGCAGCCAGTGCTGACATTCAAAGGCAGGATGAGTTGAAGGAATGGGGAGGTGGGAAGCAGGAGACAGGCTGGGAAGGTAGGTAGGCAGCCTGGTCTTAGAAGGTGAGAACCAGCCTTGGTCCATCCAAGCGGACTGGGTGGAATGGACAGAGATGCTGGGACTCATTCTGTACACACCCGGGAGGCACATCACCGGGCTGGTGTGCAGGCAGACTGGCCAGCGTGTGTTCATGTGGCGTTATGGCTACAGCTCGGAAAGAAGTGGCTTTCCTATCTCATGGGAGTCTGAAGGAAGGTAGAGGCATGAACCAAGGAGAGGTTGCCAGGCTGTGACCGAGTTGGGGGGCAGAGACCCACCAGGACCTTGTGTTTTGGTACTTAGCCAGGAAACTCTGTAGGGACCGTAGCTGATAAATTAGTCAAGGCCGGTCACACACACACACACACACACACACACACACACACACACACACACACACACACACCTCTTACTAGTCACTCACTAAATGACAAGACTAAAATAAAAAGTACTTGACTGAAAGTTTTCAGGTCTACTGACTGAATCCACAAATAGACACACTTGGTTTATTTAGCTGGTCAAGAAAGGAAGTAAAAATGAGAAATACCAAATCTCTCAATAGCTCTTTGTATGTGACCTATGCTAGACTGAAAAGGTCAATCTCTGCTAGTTGTTATGTGTTCCTTCTACTAGACTGGGGTTAGGGGTGCAGCTTGGTTTGGAGTGCTTACCTAGCACGCACAAGGGCCTGGGATGGGGTCCCAAACATATGAGCTAGGCATGCTAGGAACACACCTGTGATCTTAGCACTAGGAAGGCAGAGTCAGCAGTCCAGGGTCATTCTCAAGTACATATCAAAATCAGCCTGGGGTAGATGAGGCCTAGTCTCATAATACATATCTGCCAAATTACCAAATTATCATGGTTTGTGGCCTAATAATGTAGTCTGCGCCGGTTTGATATTCTGACAGGGAAGAGACGTTGTGAGCCGGCTAGTTGTTTTAGTGTTTATTTAACTGACTTATAGGCCATTCTTTCTTACAAGGAGTTACAGAGGAAGAGTGTAGCAATAGCATCCTCACTATCAATACAGACAACAGCTTAGATGAGTTTGGTGACCACAGACTATAACGCAGGCGTGGACAGCACTTGGTTGTGAGTAATGCCATCCATGTTCGAGTCCACGAGGAACATTAACATGGTTTAAGTGTTCAGTGCAGCAAGTCACCAAAATGTCCCGTGGCCTGGAGACTTGGATGGCAGGATGCCGCCGGGCCTTTGTTGTATCCCAGGTGAAAATTGAAAGGCCTAGAAGCCTGTTATGTTTCATCTCCCTGGGTGAGTACCCCGGCTTTCTTGTAAACTGCCCTCTTCTCCGATCAGACGCCAGGTCTGGAAGTCCTTGTGATATTTATTTATCTCCCATACAGTTGTTTCCCTCGAGGAGAAATAGCCGCATCTAAGCAGCGGCTAAGGTAACTGTTGTCTCAAGTCTGAGTAAAGGGTAGCTCACGGAAGGACAGGCTTTACAGCTGCTTTTCGGTAGAATCCGGCTCCATTGACGTTAAAATTCCTTTTTTATGTTTTCTTTACATATAGGCTTCAGGCCCATCACTGAGTACACATTAGGGACCCTACAAAATGTTTATTGATAAAATACCTAAATAAATAGGCACAGGTTGTTTTCAACCCAAAGCCTTTGCCAGAGCAAGTGTAGGAGTAACAGTTCCGCCGAAAGGCTGCGTGCCTATCCAGCTGTTCCATGAATTTCCAGTCTCCAAGTTTATGAGAGGAGACTTTATTGATCAGCCCTTCGGGGCAGCTAACTTGCAGAAAGATAGAAAGGAATATTTGTGACTGAAACCTGGTCCTATGTGGGCATCTTTTGGAAGTAGGGTAGGAAACGGCAGAATCTCTTACAGTTCCTCCCTGGTGCTGAAGGAACCCTACACCCGGTAAAACACACAAGCACGTCCTGTTTTTATTCATCCATTCTAGCTCTTTGCTTCATCCTAAATTTCCAGTGTTGGCTATGGATTATCCATCACAGACGACCTGTGTGAGTCATCCTTCGGCAGCAACAACTCCAGACAAGAGGGGTTTGGTGGTCTCAGGGAGTGTCATGAATGGTTCACGTAGAAAAGCTACAGCATCTTGCCTGCCTTCACCTATCTGCCCTCTCTGTGGAGCACTGATGCTGCGGAGTGGGTTGCTCCAGCCCAGGTCTGGTCCTCTGCTTCTGAACACCACCCATTTATCTTGAGGGGACTACTCAATGGATCCAGCCTCTATAGGATCAGAGAGTAAATATCATGAACCTTGAAATGTTGAAGGA